CTTCCAACTTTGACCCATAACACATTTCTGCGTACCAGTCTCATCCAGTGTCTGTTTAAGATATTAATGATATTCAATACAAGTATGGCCTGGTGGTTAGGGCTCGGCTCGCAATCTGTGAGTCGCATCTTTGAATCCTCGTCACCGAATGTGCTCGTCCTTTCAACGTGTGATCGTTATAAGTTCCGGTCAATCCCACTATTCGTTGGTGTTTACTAGCCGCCTTCCCTCTAGTCTATCACTGCTAAATTAGGGACAGCTAGCGCAAATAGCCCTCGAATAGTTGTGCGCCAAATTCAAAACAAATCAAACCAAACCAATTTTTGGGAAGTACGTATGTGAGGGTAGAAAATATTAACCAATCGAAATGAATAATAAAACTCAAATTTATAAAAGTAATTTTAAATCCATTCTAGACTGTAACGTTACCTACAAAAAACTATATTGAACGAAATCATAATCTATCTATCTATTTATATAACTGACATAAGTACAATATCTATAACATTCAACGAGTTACCGCTGGAATGATAATTTTTCAATTATTTTCAACAAACCTTACACTTCGAAACACACCGTTGTTCAGTTCGGTATCAATTTTTCGAACCGCTATATTTTGGATCTGACCGTTTCGTTTGTAGAACATCATCAATAATTATTAGAACCAGGACTTTGATTATACTAGATAATTCTTTATTCCTAGAGTTTCAGTAAAACATTTGAAGGATACAGAGATATCAACAATTTGGATTTTCTGTTACTACTGCTCTCACGTGACATACAGGTGACTAAGATATATTCATTAGTTAGGCTTATGACGTGTTTTTATGCCGTTAACTACCAGTGGGTATCATATGTTACACCTAACTGAGTGAGTTTGTGTTTTTGCTTGTTACAAAACTCAGTGTAGGGAACTAACCCAAACATATTTGGCGAAATAATGTTTTTGTTAAATACATAGAGGACCCCCAACAGTAATTGCTGACGTTAACTGCAATACGCGTGGTATTCTTGTTTACTTTTTGTGATGACTCAAATTTTATCAAGAAAAAATTAAAGAGACAGAAATAATTTAGTTCAGAAGAATGTGTTAAAAAATCCATGGGGTTCGACCCCATCAGTAATGCTAGGGTTAAAATAACAGTTGTTCTCATATATATATATATAATAAGCAGTTTGCCTCTAAAGAGAAAGGTCCACCTTTCGAAAGCGCTCGGGTTATAGGGTTTTATCATTTTGTATCAAGATTTATTGAATCTACATGTTTTTCTGATATCATACAATAAGCATTAAAAACTATTTGAGTAAAGATTCCATTGTTAGTCCGAATCCCCATCCAACCAAGCATGCTCGCCCTTTCAGCCGTGGGGGCGTTATAATGTGACGGTCAATCCCACTATTTGTTAGTAAAAGAGTAGCCCAAAAGTTGGCGGTGGGTGGTGATGACTAGCTGCCTTCCCTCTAGTCTTTCATTGCTAAATTAGGGACGGCTAGCGCAGATAGCTCTTGTGTAGCTTTGCGCGAAATTCAAAACAAACGAAACAAACAATTAAACAGTTTTAATAAATTCGCCACAAAGTGATTTAACTTATAGTATTAAGACAGATTTGAATGATACTAGAAAAACTAAGTAATTTTGATAATGATTTATTTATTTTATTGGAGAAACAAATCATTGTCGATTTAACTTACTCCTTATCTCTGACGTCGGGTAGACTCCTATGGAGAGAAATGAGATCACTAACATACTGGTTGAAAGCGTTTTTATCCCATCCATCTTTAACCAAAGCTTGCTGAATCTGAGTTAGGTTAGCCAATCGGACTGGTTTGCCCATCTCACCTAAGCCGTCAGGATCTCTGGGTGGAGGAATCACCCCGTGACCACGGTCACCAGGTATATCACTATCTTTGTGATGTTTGTGACGCACTTCTACAGGTTGTGGATGTGCTGGTTCCTCTGGGAGATTACTTTTATAATCTATTTTATTACCTTCTTTAATTTCTTTGGCTCTTTCTAGATTTGGTATGTTTCTCACATTAATGTTTTTATCCGTGTTTACTTTCTCGTTGTAAGCTAGCAGCACTGTGATCACAAACCACGTGACAGGTGCAAGCACCAGAACCTTGATGACGAGATTACGTCTTCTGGGAAAGAAAGTCATGCTGATAAGTTTGACACTATTAAACGAGAACACAGAACAGCTGTAGAAGTGACGTCTAAAGATGTAAGATGACGAAAGCACACGTTATGTATGACGTAACTGTTACGTTTGAGACAAATAGAAGCTTGTTACCTGTTTGAAATAAAATAATTTTGCTTAACATCCAATTAAATAAAAGAACCAAAAGTTACACAACATAGAAAATATTTAACGACATGTCTTTCCCCCCCACTTGTTAGTTATTTATGGTTTTGCATTGCTCTTTTTTTTACATGTAAAATCAACCATAAAAAATAAATTACTATAGATTTAGGCTTAAATACTTACATATGTTAGTTTAAAATATAATTCTAAAAATTTATGTCTATGGTTCAATGTAAAATTAGTTATATATCTATTTTGAGAGCAAATTATAACATTAAGTAAATGTATTCAGTACAAACGAGGCTTTTTTTTAAAGGATATAACAATTATTCTATTCTGTTTTGATTATATTCAGACACTGCTATTATATATAATATAATAATATATAATAATATATATAATAATATATCTAATGATTAAATAAAAAATATAAATGATCATTATGCTAAAATGGATTTGTAAATATATTTTTGATTTCTTTTAAGTTTCGCACGGAGTTATCGCTGGCGATCTGCGCCATTTGAAAATGAATAAGTGTGTATATATGCTTTTGAATCAAAAGAACAATGTGATCGGAATTATACAAGCTAATACACTATAAAAGAATATATATCTGTGATATCATTATTTAACAGTTTGTCTAGTGCATAATACTAAATAATTAAATTTGGCGGAATGCCAGATATTACTTAAACACCTAGATTGATTTGGGGGATAACACGGCGAGTTTCGACAGCTCAAAACCCCGAAGCAAGTACAATAAATCACTACTGTTAAAGTATGCAACGAATTGTGCCTTTCGTTGGTTGACTTCTCAATTCCAGCAGAGCGCTTTACATCTGTAAAACGTTTTCAGGTTTTTTTTTTCCATAGTTATCAGCACTATCATACCCCCCCCCCCCACGGCGTAGGGGAACTCCGATGAAAGCACTGGTCAAGGATGTAATAACCACAGTTTTATCTCGAGTAGATAAAATGGCTCGTATTTATTCTTATTCCTGTATCGTCACAGTTGGAAGAAAATCACGTTACTGTATATATCAGTCGAGTGACGACAGACATCAAACACTACGCTTGTTGTTTAGCCGTGTGCATCAAGCCTGTAGAGCCGTTATGAAGTGTATAAAACGAGGCCTTATCATGGACGAATAAACACTACTCGCAACGTGCCATACTAGTTTCTATGAAGATACCAAATACTTTACATGACATTCCAAAGACACTAAAATATTTCAATGGTTACCATGTTCTAATTCACATTATCTACGTAAGAAGTCTACCGTCATGAAACATCAAACTTTTCCTCGTATAGAAATAAGAAGAGCATCTTATTTCATCTTATCTTCTGGAAGGGTTAGAAAGTATTCTATTTCACCAGGGACCGCGTTGCTAACGTTTAATCCTTTAACACCTCTGCACTCTCTGGTTGGCTCACACCAGAGATCAAGAAGGCTAAAGTTTGTTGTTTTGTTCCAGGAAGAAGTTTTGTTTCCTTTACGTGAAAGACTTCTTAGGTTCATCTGTTTTTCGGTTATTTCCTTATTTATCAGAATAGTTGTCCTACAACCAAACCAATATATTTTAATACATTCACTTAAACTGAAATAAATTGAAGTTAAAGGATAAAACCCGATTCTTTGTGAATTCAGTAGTTAATCTTATGTTTTAGCAATGACATTATGTAACATTGACTTATGCTATAAAGATTAACACAGACATCTTTAGTATTGCAACAAGTCTTTCATATACGTAGTGAAAACAAACACATACTGAATATCTTTGTTTTAATTTTATGCAAACAATTTCATCTGTAAATATTTTATGCCGAAAATTTCACAACAAATGCCCACTAATGCTAAACACATTCACAACACGTAAAGTTTTATAACTCTTTTATGATGAAAATTATTCAATAAATGATCACTAATGCTAAACAGATTCACAGAGTGTAAATAGTTTTATCCATAATTATTTTATGTTGAACATTATTCAACTATTAACCGTTAATGTAGGTCATCAGGATTCACTGAGGATGTTTCTAGAAGTTTTTTTTTAATATTGAGATATTAGTATGTGTACGAAACATAAAAACCTGAACTACTGTGCGAATACATCGTTAATTACTAAACAATTAGATTATCACTAGACAACCGTGACCCGCTGGGTC